TGTAGGTGTATGCATATAGGGGTTTACATATACAGGGTGATTCATTAGTTCTTGCAATTTAAATATTTCCAAAAGTATGATAATATATTAGGTCGAGTAATAAGTAACTTCCGATGTAMTGTAATAAGTAACTACCTATTATAAGTCACCGAAACAAACGGATTTTCAATATCACTGTATAGATGAGGATTCAGTTTAGTCTTCTGTCAACTTTTTTATACAGTCAATGTTACATTTAAGTGGCAATTGAAAAAATATACAGCGTATACAGTGCAGGACTGATAACTGATGATAGGGCAGTTCAGAAATTGGTTTGTCAAATTCCGTTTCTGGAGATACGATCTTAAAAGATGAACCGAGTGCAAGGACGTATTTCAGACTTTGATGAACCTTTTAAAGGTAATATTGGAGAGCAAAATCCAATGGATACGTTGAACAATTGCAAAGAGTGCAAAAAAAAAAAACACAAAAAACTCCATGAAAGGTGTGTTGCACTTATCAGTGCATTTGTCTCATACAAAAAACGAAAGTTATTTATGACTCGACCTAATACTTTTGGAAATGTGTTGATGGTAAGAGCTGGTGAATAATCACCCTATATATATAGATATAGATATATATGTATGTTTCATCCATCAAAACATCGATTTGCTCATACTCGTGGAATTTTGAATATCGTACGTATTATCGTTTCTCTCATAGTCAAACTAATTGAAATAATTCTTAAAAGAATGCGAATAATGAGGGCAAGTGCATTGAATTTGTATCGAGTAGGCATGCGCATGATTACGATCCGCATTGTCTAATACAATATCAGTATATCTTCAATATTAAATAACCGGAATATACTTGCATCCATGAATACACACCAATAAACTGGATTTTGCAAGGACGTATATCATCGATTCATATTTCCGATCATATCGAATGATTGAAATTTTTTAAAGAAAACAATAAAAGATAAACAATAGAATTGAGAAAAATATTGTAACTCATGAAAATATTTAATATGTTAAATTGAATTATATATGTATCAAATTATGTTTTAATGAAACTATGAAAGATAAAATAACAAGATAAAGAAAATATTTTAATTTATTACTAATAATATTATTATTATTATTATTTTATATTAATATTATTATTTAAATTTGATTTATTTAAATGTAATACAAAATCTATTATTTTATTATATAATATATTATATTTATGATTTGTAAATGTTTATTCTTATTATGGTTAAAATGATTATGGATGTATGTATAAAATTATTTAACGAAACAAAGATAGATAAAACAACGAAATAAAGAAAATATTTTAATTTATTACTAATATTATTATTATTATTATTATTATTATTTTATATTAATATTATTATTTAAATTTGACTTATTTTAATATAATAAAAAAATATATTACTTTATCATATAATATTATAATATTATATTATGATAAAAGTTGACCCAGATTATGGTCACAACTGATATATATATATATATATATATATATGTTAATAAATTTAGTATAAAAAATGAATAAATAAAAAATATCGAGAATGCGCAAAGTTAAAGGTTTAATGACGATCGTTAACAATAGTGTGGTACAGTAGTGGGGAAAGGGAATTATTGATTATGCGACTCTCTCTCCTGGTTTAAAGAGAGAATACATTCTCTTTCTTTTCATTTCTCTCTCTCTCTCTCTTTCTTTCTTTCTTTGGTTATGCATCTCTCATTCATTTTATCTGTCGTTGGAAAAGGGCATTTCCAAGTATGGAAAGACCAAGAGAGAGAATCCTACCTAACTTTTTTATTTTCTAAAAATTTACAATTTTTTTTATTTTCTTCCTTCCTTAGAATACGGTCAAGGTGTGTTCGCATAGTTGCACTTGGTGATACATACTTCGATCTGCATAAAGAGTCGTCATCTCTAAGGTTTCCTTATCAAGGCAACTGAACTGATTAAGTTTGTCCTCTCTCTGATATCGTTTGTTCGAATAGTAACGTAACTTTATATATACATGTGTGTGTGTGTGTGTGTGTGTATGTGTGTGTATGCATGCATAATACATATATATTTATTCAAATTGTATCAACGTTATGCATAAATACATATATATATATATATATATATATCAAAAGTATATCATAAATTATGGATACAGTAGGAAGGATGCTATTAGAAAAATGATTTATTTTGTTAATAAAATTATATTTTATTTATAATAATATAAATTTCTAAATGTATTCTATAGTTTATAAAATGTTATTTGAATAATTATCTAGAAAAAAAAAAATGGGAAAAGTAAAAAGAATATAAAAATAATAATTGATTTGCAACACAATTGAAATGAATAAAAAAATTGAACGATAATATTTCCCTTTATATGGTTGGGTTTTATCAAAGAAAAAAATAGTGTTTTTTTTTTTTTTTATAAAAAGTAGACACAAAAAAATAGCGAAGAAAAAAAGTATTAATAAGATAGGTTAAATAAGATGATGTATCTTGTTAGCCATTTTGACGGCATCTTTCATGCCTGACTCTTAGCTCTATCATCGGATCTATTGGTTTCTTTATGGAACCGTTCACATAAAGGCTTCCTTCTTGAGTAATGAATCGGAAGACCCTTTTCCCATTGAAGCATGGTGAATGGGCTAGGATATATTACTCATTTATATACTTAGAAGAAAGAACACCAACTCCTACCTAACCAATCACATTGACACATCTTCTCGTCTTTCGTCATCATCTTTTTCTTACAAACCTAACTCAAACTTAATCAAGTTTATCTTGTATTATCATATATATAAGGTGTCACAGTTGAACGTGGTTATTTCAATATTATTAGTGAAGTGTAAACTTCTTTAAAATCAGAGTGATTTGAAAATCGTGAAACGGAACAACGTGAAACGGAAGAACGTGAAATCGCGATGAAACAAAAATAATTAATTAATTAATTAAATTTATTATATTATTTAATTCTATATATTAATTAATTTATTAATTAATAAAATTCTATATATAAATAATTCAGTGTAATAATATGTTTGTCCACTAATAATTCCGAATTATTATATAATTTTGTCTATTATTATTTTTTTACTTTTCCAATTAGTTTTTTAAATTATTATATTAAAAAAATATTAATTATTATTATTATAAAAATTTAATATTATTTAATTATTATATTTTTTTTCAAAAGTAAAATATTAACTTTTAAAATTATTCCCTGTGTGTTATATAAAATATTGTTGAAGAACAATTTAACAAAAACGTATGCATATTACAATACTTCAATAGAAATTGTGTTTACTTTTATTTTACGATAATAATAGTACGATACAATAAACAATAAATGTGAAGATAATTAATACCAATCAATGTTATCAAAGTGTTGAAATAATTTAACCGATAAGAGCTCGAGAGAAAGAGAGAGAGAGAGAACAAAAACAACAAAAAAATAACATTAATTCCGATAAACGATAGACAGGATGGAAACTTTGTGTATCTTTTAAAAAGGACTCACTGAACCATTATCTTCCTAAGTAGGCTATAAAAGAGAGAGAAAGAGAAAGAGAGAGCGAGAGAGAGATAGAGGGAGAGAAAGAAGGACAAAGATGGGTTGTACTGTACTTGTTAGTAAGTCCTTTTTTACTTACTTTTCTTCTCTTTCTCGATACATCGATCGTTGCTTTGGAAATCTGTCGTTGTACTTTTACAAAGAAAGAAAAGTTCCTGGGACAATAAAAAAAAAAAAATGAAGAAAGAAATAAAGGAGACAGAGAGAGAGAAAGAGAGAGAAAGAGAGTTGCAAAAAAAAATGAAATTGATTGACAAGATAAAAAACTATTAAGGCCATCCCTAAACAAACCTTTTTTTTTAAATCATTTGATAATTTAACACGTTCATCGCCGTGGCACCGTATATCAGGGACGGGCATGCTTCTCTGGGGGCCCCGTCACCGTATACGGTGACGCTCTTCTTCTTGAAGTTATAGGATTTTTAATTGGAAAAACTTATCACATTTTCCATGTCGAAAGAAAATGATTTTCGGTACATAAAAGATAGTATTATATTTTATTATTTTTGATAAATAAACAATATTTTTATATTTTATTATTTTCGGTAAATAAAATATAATAATATATTATAAACCATAATACTCGGGTTGCATTATTGATATTTCTACTTATCGCTTCTTTACATTACGGCATTCGCCGACACGTCGAATTTTGGGCCTGGCGAGAAACTCAACCGAAACGGGCTACTACTACTACTATTATTATTATTATTTTTTTTTTTCAATATTCATCTTTCGTTAAGTTTTTTTTTGTGTCTAATTTTTCTTTTCTTTTTTTTTTACTTTTTTTCAACAACGGCACGCGCCTCATTCAAAGCTTCGTTGTAATTGGCAATGCTCTCACAGTAGGTGCTCCTCTCTCTCACTCTCTCACTCTCTCTCTCTCTTGTTGCTTATGTTAAAAAGAAAGTGCCACCACAAATTGGCACTTCGCCTGCTAAACGTCTAATTACAAACATACAAAGTACTCTTGATTACGTGAATCATCATTATTCGCGGGGATTTAAAGTCTCGTTAATTCAGTTTTACTTCGAGCCTTAAATGTGCAAATAAATCAACGAGTTTATTTTTATAAAAGCAAACAAAATAAAAAAAATTAAATAAAGAGATGAAAAAATATAGATCTAAGAAGTTAATTAAAAAAATCAAAAAAAAAACAAAAAAAAACAAATTTTCATTTACAGGATCAGCGATAGAAAAATTATGCGAATGTGCTATGGAAGACAGTTTGGCCGATCGTGGGTCAGTTGTCAGAGCAGCAAGATGTCTATTGGGTTCTGTCACTAGAGTCCTTTTATTAGCGGACATAGTTGTTGTGAAACAATTGCTATTAGCTAAGGACAAGGTTGCTCGTAGCCTTGGACGTCTAGAAAGTGTCTCCAATTTCACCGAATTTGTTAAAGCTTTCAGCCAATTTGGTGCTGAAATGGTTGAATTGGCTCACCTTACCGGTGATCGTCAGGTAATTTCATACACACATATATATATATATATTTAATTTGAAAATATTTTTTCTTTTTTATCAAAGTTAAATCTTATTCATTAATTTAATCATTCTATTTATTAATTTTAATTTAAAAAAGACCAAATAATAATTTAATTAAATAATAATATTACACAATTTTTCGTTTGAATTCGTAGAATGACCTTAAAGACGAGAGACGTAGGGCTCAAATGGCAGCTGCCCGACAAGTTTTAGAGAGAAGTACGATGATGCTACTCACATCCAGCAAAACGTGCCTGAGACATCCTGAATGTCCTTCGGCAAGGGAGAACAGGGACACAGTTTTCTGTCAAATGCGAAGAGCGATGGATCTAATACATTACGTGGTCAAGGATGGTGTCCTCGATTGCAGTGAATCTCAATCTTATCCCAATTCTCAAGTAAGAATCCTTTTTCTTTTTATCATCAAATTATTCGATTAAATAATATCCATATAGATTTTATATATATATATATCTATTCTACTTTTTCAACGAACAATTTCATTTTTCTATTTTTATACATATTTTTCTAAATATTAGGTCGAGTCATAAGTAACTTCCGATGCGGATCTCATCGCGATATCATTGTCAGGATATTTTGCATTTAAATCGAATCATTGGATTTTTTTTTTTTTTTTTTTTTTTTTAATTAACAATTGTATAACACGTTATCACGAACAGAAATGTGATATCGAGGAATATGTTTATATCGCGTGACAAATCAAAAGTATCAACAATATATCTATCTATTTTATCGAGAAAGAAAAAGAAAAATAATCCTTGGAAATATCGTTAAAAACAATGTCAAAGATAGAAAAATAAGGTCGTGTTTGAGAATGATGTTTTTGTTCTATTTTCTCGTAACTACGAAAATGCGTTATGCTCATTTTTCTCAGCCAAAAACCATGACCTTTCTCGAAGTCTTTCAGACATGATGGCGCCTATAAACTCTGACATAATTTCTCTATTTATTCTAAAAACAATATATACTGGGTGTCTCCCCTATATAAATCACTTTAATTAACAACTTGAAACAATAAAAGTACATTCATTGGCAACTATTTAAAACTACTAACAATCATTGACTTATTTTTTTAACAACATTGTAATTCATTCAAATAAAATAATTATTTTATTTATTATTTGCTTTGTTATTTTATGTTACGTTTGAAAATTGGTTACTTGAATAAATCTATTATTTAAAAAAAAAAAAAAAAATAGAAAAGAAACAAATTGAAATATTTATTTGTTTAAATTTTGTCATTGAAGATTATCTTGAAATGAAAAAAAAAAAAACAAATTATTCATAATATTATTAACAAACTAATATTTAATTTTTTGTTTAACGATAAAGTAACTTTTGGTACACTCTGTATATATTTATTCATGCACGTATAAAATTTACATACATGCATAGAAAAGATAATAATTGATTTGAAAATGAAGTCAAATACTTTTAACGCGAGCAATAAAGCTTATTGTAAATTACCGTGTTAAATGATAGTCATAAATAAACATACATATGCATATTTATTATTATTATTATTATTATTATTATTCTTTTTCTTTCTCTTTTTAATAAATGTAGATTGGTAGACGTGATTTCGTGCCAAACAACAAGAATAAGAAAAAGAAAACGATAATAGTAAAACGACACGATGTGTTTGCGTTTTCTATCGTCTAGCAATTTCTACGTCGAGTAGTTTCACCTTGTTTTATTCAAATGGTTCTCTTCCCTACATAAAAGAACCCAAATGACTCGGCCGTCGGCCAACTTTCTTTAAGCTGTTAAAACAATTCATTACTATCTATTTTACATCATTGTTTGACACTACACAAGTTAAATTTTTAATATATAAATATATATATATATATATATATAATATATTTCACACACATGTGAACACTTTGCACGATTTCAACTTTAAACTTCGTCCTTGCACTCGGTTCATCTTTTAAGATCGTATCTCCAGAAACAGAATTTGACAAACCAATTTCTGAACTGTCCTATCATCAGTTATCAATCCTGCACTGTATACGCTGTATATTTTTTCAATTGCCACTTTAGTGCTAATTGCTTTGTTTCAATTCTTCAAGCATTACACGTCGAATATGCACTTTTTACTATCCCATTTCAGTGGTTAAGAAAAACCGGTTAAATGTAACATTGACTGTATAAAAAAGTTGACAGAAGACTAAACTGAATCCTCGTCTATACAGTGATATCGAAAATCCATTTGTTTCGGTGACTTATAATAGGTAAATACGAAAAATAAATTCTGCATAACCGTATCGGAAATTATTTATGACTCGACCTAATATTAACATTCGAATTTTAAATTAATCTCGTATTTTTTTACAAAAAAAAAAACAAAAAAAAATATAAAACATTTTCTATTAATACTTTTCTATTATTTCTTCAATAAATTTGAATCTATTATAACATTTTCAATTAATACTTTTCTATTAGTTCTCTAGTGAATGACATATTTGTAGAAACTAATAAATATAATAAATATAACATTCCCACATACCGATTCATATAAGAATGAAAATTCGATGTATGTTATATAAACTTAAAATAGTAAATTAAAAAACTTATAATTATCCTAACATTATTTTAGTTCTTGAATATTATATTCCGCATTATTAAACAATTGAACGAATTATTAAAATCGCAAACGAAAAAAATCATTTTCTAATATTTAATTAGAACAAAAATGTGTATTATCTTTTACATTGTTTGTTTTTTTATTTTTCAATCTTATAATTTGATTATTCTATTTAACGATTTGTATTTGTTGTTGTTGTTGTTTTTTATTTTTAATGAATTATAATATGGATCGTTATTGTGATTCGTAGAATCCACAGCAAGAAGATTGGGACAGTAGTACGGTGTGTTCTGCATTGAAATATTTCGAGAGACTCGTCGAAACCACGAGGATGACCCTGTTGGGACAAGGTTGTCGTGAAACACTGACATCAGCCCTCGACACGGTAGTAGAAAGGACCCAGGATTTTACTGACAGTGCTTACACGACTCACGAACATCGTGAAAATATCCTTCTACTTTGTGACAGAGCGAAACTTGAATTGAACACACTTTTGCGAATCGGTAATAGTATGGTAAGCATTTATTTATATTATAATAATATTAATAATAATTATTTAATTATTTAATTATAGTAAGTAGTACTTTTATAGTACTATAAAGTATAGTACTACTTTTTTCCGAAAAGTAGTGAGGTTTTTTCCGATAAGTCCGTAGGGTCTTTCCGATAAGTCCGTATGGTGTGTTTAATTAGGCCTCGTAGAAGAGTCTCGTAAACAAGCCTCGTTATAAAGCCTCGTAATCGAGAGATAAGAAAGAACAAAAATGTTTATTAAAAATCTCCACAAATTTTTGGCTTCATTAATTTTCTATTGTAATCTCATCTTCCATTTTTTTTTTTTTTTTATCGTTAGAATTTCGAAGGAGGTGGATGTTCACCAAGCTCAGAGATGGAACAAGCGGTATTGGGTGTACTTCGTGCTACTCGTGACCTTCGTCAACAGCTTACAACGACGACGATGGAACAAGCCGGTGACCTTGGACAGGTGACCAAAGCCGGTCAAGAATTAGTCTCGACAATTAGGAACCTCGCTTTGGCTAATGAAATCGACCGACTTCAAGAGAGCAGCGATAGGTTTCACGAGTACATCGAACATATTCTCGAAGTACGTGTAGAGCTTCGTGTAATATCTTTTTTTTTTTTTTTCAATTCAACAAATATCCTTTTTTAAAATTTTTTTTTCTTTACGTGACGATCATCTGGATAAAATTTATGTTTAGCTGGTTTTTTTTTTTTTTTTTTTATTAACGAACGACCCTTCTTTTAATTCCAACTTATTGTTAGTTTGTTTTTCTTATAGCATGTTTCATTTGTTTTTCATGTTTAAATCAATATTCTACCCGTGGAATATTTTTATTTTATTGTCTCTTTATCGATTAATGTTATTGATAATATTTATAATAAAAAAAAAAAAGAAACAAAATATAGGAATGACATTTATGATAGGGTGTGCGTGTGTGCACGCAAATCTGATACACGAAGCAAGCAAAATATTGATTTAGAATATTATTACCGTATTATTATTATTATATATATATATATATATATTTTTTTGTGCTTAAAAAAAAAAAAAAAATAAAATTTATATATGAAGCTCAATTTAAAAAAAAAAAGAAAAATTATCTAAAACATTAAAGACTCTAAATATCGAAGAATTTTAATTCAACTCTAATTAGAATTAAGAATGAAAGATAATGAATAGTTTAATTATGATGGGTATTTAATTAAAAAAAAAAAAAAAAACATTTAGGTATGCAAACTCTTGAGACACGTCGCACTCTCGGAATCCTTACAAGTTTCTGCTAAGTTTACCGAAATCAACCTGAGAATTTATGGTCCTCAAGTGGTGACAGCTGCGCACACGTTAGCTAGGCATCCTACTAGTAAAATTGCTAAAGAAAATTTAGAAGGTATAATTTCTTCTTACATTAATCTTCATATAATTAATAAAACATTTTTCATTAACTTTAATTAAATATTTTCACAGTTTTTGCTGATATGTGGCAATGGTTGATGACCGATGTGACAACAGTTGCCAAAGACGTTTTGGAATTGAGTCAAAATCGACCGGAAAAACAGGTCTACATGTCCTTGCCACGACCAGGTGTAAGTTTTATTTATTTATTTAAATTAAAATTAAAAAAAAAAACACTATTAAAATCTTTCTCATCGTTCAATAATATTAACCCTTTCGCTATGGTGATCCTCACCAAGGAGTGCCTTGCGTGGAACGAAGCACCTGTGCCGAAAGTGCAAACATTTAAACGCGTCTTCAACATTGGGAATCAAGATTTTAGGTCTCAAAAATAACTTTGTAACATTACTTTTAAAAAGTAAAAAAAAAAGCGCTTACAATTGTTTGTGAAGAGAAAAAAATCGAGTCGATAGCATTTGACTTGATTTTTGGCTCCATTTCTGTAAGAGATGCGACGGATGACTATAATCACTCGTAGTTGCGAAAGGGTTAATAATTATTAGTATCAATAATATGATTTTAACGAAATTCATATAATATTTTAATTATTTATGTGATTTGTTTGTTTGTTTTTGTTTTTTTTTTTCATAAAGAAAACAATACATTATACTTGTAATATACTGGGTTTTTGATTACATTGGCGAGAACCTTGATATAATATAACAAAACAAACTTTCTGAGTTTGTTAACCACTAATATTAACTTGTGTGTTTTTGAAATAATGAAATAATACAAACGTGTTGTTATTTCACGTTACATCAATTTATCATAATAATAATATGTATATAATACCAGAACTCGTGAAAAGATCTATATTAATAATAATTTAACCTGTACATTAATTAAAATCTAATATACGAAGATTAATTAAAATTACACGTATATTAGATTATCCTATGAAAATTCACATAGACAAAATTTTCATGAGATTTTAATGAGAGACCTTTCGAGATATGACCTAAAAAACTGCAAAATTTAAAGATTACAAGAAAAAAGAAAAAAGAAAAAAAAAATAATGATCTCGCGTAAATTAATTTAATCTACATTAATGATAATAATTATCGAAAATCTATAACATTTTTTTTTCTTTGCTACGAATAAATTGAGAAAAAAAAAAAAACCAGAACAACAAATTGTCAATTAAACAAAAACAAAAAAAAATTCTAATCTATAGAAACATGGTACAACGAGCAAACCATTGAAACCAGTTAGACTGGACAGCGAGGAACAAGCAAAGATAGCGAAGGCTGGCCTTGAGATGAAGCTGATTACATCGGAGATGGATGCTGAAACGGAGAAATGGCAAGAGAGTGGTAGTGCACTAGAGGAGAACAACGACATCGTTAAACGTGCTAAGAATATGTCGTCCATGGCATTTTCGATGTATCAATTTACAAGAGGTGAAGGTGCCCTTAAAACAACTCAGGATCTTTTCACTCAAGCTGAGTATTTTGCGGAGGAGGCGAATAGATTGTACAAGGTTGTGAGACAATTCAGTTATCAGGTACGTTTTGCAGATTCATTTTATCGATAAGATCGATCACATTTATCGATCTATACATTTATATATATATATAAGTAATTACACATGTCTATTTCGATTGGAGGTGACGTTTTTAAACTTGTTCCTTTGACACGTGTGTGCGTCTTTGCGTGCGTGGGTGCGTGTATGTGTACTCTTGTATATTCATCCTTATGTATAATATGTATATACACAATCTATCTCTATATATGTATCGTTATATAAGATCCTATTATCTCAATGTTAATCGAGTATGAGTGGCGTGTATGCGTGCCCGCGCGCGTTATATTAACACCCCACCCCCCCAACCTCTTTTGTCTGAGCCCCCCCCCTTTGTCTGAGCTACCCCCCCCCTTTAATCTCCCTTAATTTATTCGATCATATTCTTTTTACCATTCTATTACGGATTCAGTATTGGACTTGATTCCGAATAATTGTTCGATATATATATATATAACCTATTTATACCTATACTTGTATACATATATTTATTATTGATTATTATGATAATGGTGATATAATTATTATTGTTATTATTCCGTGATAAAAAAAAAATCTCTTTTACTTACACCTTACGCTATTGAGTTTCATTTTCTCGTAATCGCAATTAATCGAAGCCACGTCGAATCTTAATAAGTTGATTTTATCTCTATTGTGTTTGAAAATGTCATCTATTTGAAGTTAATTAAATGAAAGAACAAAATATAAATATGGGCCGTTTGATTTGAAGATATTCGAAGTGACTTCGATACGAGTTTATTAGCATTAGGTATGTTTGAATTAATACGTTTGCTGCCCTTACGAATCTCCTAGCTAGGCCAAGTATTGATAGTTCACCCGGTACCATTTTGATATCTCTATCTATTTATCTATCTATCTATCTATCTATCTTTCTATCTTGTTTTCCTTTTTTTTTTTTTTTAATTTTACTATTTTTCTTTCTCTCTTCTAAGTATCTTTCTGTCGCTATTATTATTATTATTATTATTATTATTATTGAAAAGAAATTAAAACGTGAACGAACCTTTGTGTAAAATGTTTTGTATTATAAGAATCCCCCTTTTTTATAACTTTCCCTTTCTCGTACTTGAATGCCATCCATCCAGGTAAAATTTTTCTCTCTTTACTTTAGACCCTCGTTTTGGGACTAATAGTTATCATACAAATCAATCTCACCATGTACAAATATTCATGACCATTTGTTTTTGTCTCGTGCATTATTTAACCGCTAAACAAGTGATTTGCGATTATCATTATAATTCTAATACCAATGTTGTGTTGGGTGTTGTTCTGATTTTATAAATCAACACACATTGCATTCTCATACATACCTATCAACAACAATAACAACAACAACAACAAAATAAGAACACATACACAACATATGCACAAAACATGATTTATACTTGTCATGCAAACGTATGTACATAGACCTAACGTATTATATCCATATAGGGGAGAATTGTTTATTATTTTATTTGAACACAATTATTCGTTTATTTATATTATATTTGAATGATTTGAGAATGGTATAGAGAATCTCTCACCAATCCTATTGTATATACTTTGTTAAATAATTATTTTAATTTCTTATATTTTACAAAAGATTGTCGTTTCGTCTAATCGCAATCACGTTCATATTTATATATATATATATATCTATATATTTTTAAAATAAATTAAAAAATAAATAAATAAAATAAAATAAATCTAATAGAAATTCTATCTATATTCAATTGAATTTTTAAATAAATCATTAGAAAAATATAAAACAAATAAGATATTGATTTGTGATTGAACACGTGTGCATTGACGACGACAATTAATCTATTCTTGAAAATATCTAAACTTTCTTTCTCTTCATATTTTCATATGACAAACTTGGACGTGTTTTTCTTTTTTTTTTTACTATGATTATGATTTTGTTGGTAAATTAACATTATGTACATACATTTACCACTTTTTGTGTACGATTAGTAAGGTGTGTTTTAGATGCTACGGGAATGCTTCCGTCTCTGGACGACGTCTATGTGCATTGTGGTCCCCCTCCTTCCACTATCTGGGGCATGAGTATTATGTCTCAAAATTTTTGCCAGCTTCCGATATTTCTTCTAAATATATTTCACGCGATAATCGAAATTCTTTCTTTCTTACTTCATATATTACATAATATGCGGACGAGATCAAACTTAACATTTTATTTTATTTTAATTTTTTTTCTTTTTATTCGGTCTCATCTTTGAAGAAAAGAAATTTTTTTTTTCTTTTTTTTTTTTTTTTACAAAGTAGATACACACATTTCAATAATGTATTTAGATAATTAGAAAATTAGACATTTTTCTCGTCTGCATAATTGTTCTCTTTGAAATTTAATAATAATTCATAGTAATATATATTCTCAGATTGGTATTGTATAACGTGTTGAATAATTAGAAAAATAAAAATTAAATATAAATAACTAATTATTCTCGAGAAGCTTGCGAAAATAACAAGGTCTGTACTATTTCACTGTCATTCACATATTCATTCTAATCTTTTTTCTCTCTCAAATGATTTTTAATAGTTTTACGTTTAAAGTTGTGCATTGTGTTCCATTAGGACCGATAGATGACACACGGCCATTTCTTTCACATATTAGCTGCATATTTATATACATATATACATATCTATATATATATATTTTTATGTCTTACGTATGTTATAGTTCAATCCTGAAAGAACACACAATATATTATTAAATTATTGAAAATATTTTATTTAAATTGTATGTACTGTATTACGTATAAACTATAACATATGTGCATACATATCTATATAAATATATATATTGATATGTATATTCGTATCACAAAATAAATATATATTATATCGATAGTCTTTATTAACAACGAACTACGAAAATATAGTATCAAGCATTGCTTGAAAGATATTCGAATATTATAGCGCGCTATATACATAAATATATAATTTACATTCACGCTAAGCAAACGCGTTCACAATTTTCAACGATCGTTAATTAAAAAAAAAAAAAAATAGAAAAAAAAGAAGAATAAATAATCACACTTGTTCGAGAGATATTCGAATATTATAGCGCGCTATATACATAAATATATAATTTACATTCACGCTAAGCAAACGCGTTCACAATTTTCAACGATCGTTAATTANAAAAAAAAAAAAAAAAGAACAAATTATTATACATTACATTCGTGTATATTACAACATAATATTATGGTTCGTTATTTTCAAAAAAAAAAAAAAAAATTAAATTATTAAATATAAATACATTATTAACTTCGTAATATACAATTATTATAAAAGATAATTATTTATTATTATATATTCCAAAAAACAAGAAAAAAATAAATAAAAGTGTTGTTTTATTTTTTCACTCACTTAATTTTAATATTTATTATTAAATATCATTTTCATAATGATAAATAAATAATAAATCGTTCATTGAAAATTGAATGTCGTTGGGAATGTGTTTGCTTTGCGAGAGTAAATATGGCATAAATTTTGATACGATATTGCATGGGCGCAGGTACCGGGTGGACCGCACAAGAAAGAACTCTTAGAAAATCTGGATCGAGTGCCAACGTACGTGCAGCAGTTGCAATTCACCGTTAAGAACCCAACCGTCGGTAAAGCGGCGACTTTTACAAAAGTCGACAACGTTATACAGGAGACAAAGAACTTGATGAACGTGATATCGAAGGTGGTCACTACGTGCTTCGTCTGCGCCACAAAGGTGAGACAAACAACGAATAATATCGAACGTTTTTTATCCAAAATCTTTAACAAATTTTTTGTTCTTTTTCCTCAACAAACATTTTTTTCGACACTCAGGTGGAATTTAAATATGCTACTTGAAAGTATTTTTTGTATTTTTCACGAATCCTTAGATTCTTCTTTCTTCTTTTTTCGATAAAAGCTTTACGTACAAATCCTTTCATTTTTTGTTTGTTTGTAATTTTGATTTGATTTTTTATCATTTTATCTCACTCAGCTCGGTAGATTTTTGTGATTTTTTCATTTTTATCGCTTTTACACGTAGCTTATAAGCAATGTTTATATTTTTCTTTTTTTATTTTCTCAAATATTTCGGTCAAATTTATGTGCAATTTTGTATATTTTCCAAAAAGAGAACAACGTTTTTCTCGATACATAATTTTGGTGTCTTACTTTCATTGAAAATTAATCCTAGGAGATATTAGAGACAATCGTGGAAAGTTAGAAACAAATTGGAATAGTGAGAGAACAAATCTAATGTCAACATTACATATTATATATAATCATTATTATATTAGTTCATGTTAAACGTTTATTCGTCGATCAGCATAACATCAACATGCCGCAGTTCGTGGATTTGAGTCCAACACTGATGCCAGGACAAAACGAAGAGGATTGCTTATATCCGATCAGTCCACAATTACTTCCGTCTTCTTCACCGTACGTTCAACCACATCCATTGACGTCAGCACAATTCCATAATATCCTTCGTACTAGTTTAAACCTTTCAGCTTTCAATCCTTACTTTAACATGATCCCAACTAATACCAATACTACAACTACAATTAATACGACAAACGCTAAAACTTCAATACCAACAACAACAGCAACAACAACAACTACCAACAATCCTAACAAAAGTTCAACATCCTTCGTACATCCCTCAGTCTTACCATTCTCGACAAATAATTCAACAAACGGTCTACAACAGCACCACCAGCCATATTCTCTGCAAAATCTTCAGCTATTGCAATTGCAATTGCACCAGGCGCAGCTGCAACAACTGAGATATGCCAGTCTACCAAGATAACGAGAGACCAAAATTGTCGTAAAAGACGACACTACGCACTCACACAAACACGAGTGTTCACGAGTTTTTCCACATTTTCTACATGTGAAAATGAGAGAGAAAGAGAGAGAGAGAGAGAGAAAGACAGAAAAACTACTCGTTATTTCTTATCACCAAAGGTTCGACCTTACGTTTTATTTTTTTTTCTTCCCCTCCCCTACCCCCTATCCTTTCTTAACCTTATTTTTTTTAATCCCTGTAATCTTTTTCTTTTTGTTTATCTCTCAAAGCTTACACAGCTTAATATACTAATTAATTTGTGCGTTAAATTATAATTATCGTGCCTTTTGTAATTTTTCTTTATTTTTTTTTTTTTTTTTTTTTTTAATACTTTACTTTCCTAAGTTTATAGTGTTCAATATACGTTACAATGGTTTGGCTTGTTAAATTATTGTTTAATTTTTCTCTTTAACCTCTCAGTTGTTGACTGTTAATTAAATGTAATCTAATTAACGTATTTCTCAGCTTCNCTTTTTCTTTTTGTTTATCTCTCAAAGCTTACACAGCTTAATATACTAATTAATTTGTGCGTTAAATTATAATTATCGTGCCTTTTGTAATTTTTTTTTTTTTTTTAATACATAATTAGCCTAAGTTTATCGTGCTCATAATACCCCTCTTAGTTTTGGCTTGTTAAATTATTGTTTAATTTTTCTCTTTAACCTCTCAGTTGTTGACTGTTAATTAAATGTAATCTAATTAACGTATTTCTCAGCTTCGACTAATCACAGGATGGGAACAGACAAAATCCACACAAATGGGAGATGGATTATAATCATTGGGGAAATATTAATATTAATATTCATTCATATGTCAATTATTAATCAATTAATTTCAGATATTTTTTTTTTTCTTATCTTTTTTTTTTCTATCGAGATTGGATATTGGGATCTCTGGCAGGAGCGTGGCGTAGTAGTTTGACCTATCTACTCTGATTTTGAATTTAACCCCCAGATAGCGTATTTAAGTGCTAGAGATTCCAATATTATATTCCTATTTTTTTCATTTGTTTAAAAATCGAATTTTGAAATATTTGATCTCGATTTAACCAATAAAGCTCTTTTTCTCTATTTCTATTTTGTTTTATTAAACAGTGAGAGTAAGTAAATTGATTTTAATCGGGAACTTAATTGCCAACCTAATACATACTATTAATAATATTAATAATAATAATAATAATAATAAAAAAGTAACAATAAGAGATAAAGACAAAATTGGAATATAATTTCAGTACAACCTGGATTTCCGAGGTCTGTCGGCGCGTGGGGCCGGCGGCTCGCCGTACAGGGGCGGAGAGGGTGGAAGCGCCGATGGGGAAGGTGGAGGTGTCGGTGCCGACGGCAGCAAGGCGGGCTCCGCCCCCGGCAGCGATCCGTCCGTCTGACAGTTTGGGATGGCCCGACGGGCCAAGGGGGACGCTCGCCGCACCCGGGTCTCCTTTCTGCTTTTTTAGGAAGACCCTCGCCTGCCCCAATGTGGAACGTACACGTCGATGACTACTACTACTACAACTACAACTACAACAACATCATCAACAACAACAACAACAACAACAACAACTACAACAACAGCTACTACAACAACAACAACAACAACAACTATAACAAAAATCAAATATCACATAATTATATCAATCTCATCAACGTCAACGTCATTAGTATTATCATTGTCGTCATATCGTCATTATCATCGATCGTGTACGTACTCACACACATACACAAAATCTTCTCCTATCAATCACGAGCTTGCCTCTTTCGGTCCGATTCCAATCGCACCACCCACCACCACCATCACCCATCTCACTTATCTCCTAACTACTCCATCTTAATAACATTGTTATATTTACTTTTTTTATTTATTTATTTATTTATTTATTCTCTTTAAATATACTATTGAAAAAAAAAATAATAAACTCTATTAAACTATTTCACTAAATTATTACTAAATATTATGAATTCTCTAAAAACACATTCTCGTTCAATTCAAATTGAAGTATCTATTAATCGTCTTTTAATCGTCACAATTTAACAATAACAACAACAACAACATATTAACATCAACGTCATCGTCATTCTCTATATCTTCTCATATCGATCGATATATTCAATCGAACCTATGTATCTTATTCTAATCCTAACACTATCCCTTATAAACACATGCTATATCAATTATTACGAATCTCATATCATGTGCATTACCAATATACTACACATATACACATACACATATATACATACATATACATATACACTACCACCCACAACATACAACTCGTTTGAATATTACTATTAATACTATATTCGAATTGATTAGAATTTCGAGTATAATGATGATGAATCCTGATTCATATCGAATTTAAAACTAAATAATTCATTAACGTTATCGTACGAAATTAACTCGAGATATCTCTTCGTGATATTTTTAATCAATTCTAATGAATTTATTTGTCATCATATGAAGTATATCACGTATGGATTATAATAATATCTCGAGGAGAACAATTATAATATATATATATATTTCTACATCAGAATAAACGACGTGTACGTTCCATTGAAATCACTCGCGAACGCTTTTACGAACATCGAAACAAAACAAAACAAACAAACAATAAATTAAAAAAGCAAAATATTCGATCACGAATCACGTCAGTCCAAATGCGTCAAATGATTTAAATCAAGGCTAGGAAAAGAAAAGAAAAGAAAAGAAAAGAAAAGAAAATGAGAGAAAGAGAGAGAGAGAGAGAGAGAGCAAAAACAAAGAAAGATTTGCTAAAATTAACAAACGCACGCAAATGGCACGCTAATTGCGCACGCACGCACGCACGCCAATGGCACGCACGATTATAATATATTATCGTCATTTAATTATCCTCCTTATATCAGTAATTAAATAAGATACGTGTGTGAAACAACCTCGTCTTAATAATCGCATGGACTCGCGGCTAAATCGTTAATAAAGCTCACATGGCTGCATAATAATAATAATAATAATAATAATAATAATAATAATAATAAATTAATTAATTAATTAATTAATAATAAATACGTTAGATCTTTTTCTAATAAAACGAACTTTTTCAAACAAATCGAATCCGTATTTAAATAATTATACATAGATATTTACATAAATACATAGGTATTATGTACGATACGTTAAAGTTACACGGGAGGGTTGTGAGAAACGGAGGTGGGGAGAGATGAAAAGAAAAGAAAAGGGTGTTTTTTTTTTTTTTAGTAAAAGTGTATGAAAGAAAGAAAGAAAGAAAGAAAGAAAGAAAGTTAGATAAATAGATTAGAGAGAGAGAAAGAGAAAGAGAAATACATGTTCATGTTTGAAAATCTCATCTACGTGTGAAAGAGAAAACAATGAAAAAAAAATGAGACAATTTTTTTTTCTTGTTTTTTTTTTCTTTTTTTCAAAAACACATACATACATACACACACACACACACACACACACATTAAACACGAAGCACGAAGATGAGATATGTTACGTCGCACAAAAAGTTAAAATAATGGAGAGAGAATGCGAATTAGTCGACGAAAGTATTACATGTGAGAAATAAAAAATAGAAAAGTTGATGGATGAATTTAATCCTTTCGCTGCTAACACGGTCTTTTGGCGTTCGGTTATAGACGCTTTGGTCTTAGCGAACAGCGCCTTTTGGCGTTTGATTATGGACACTTCTTTATCTGAGTGAACAGCGCTTTGTGGCGCCGTGAATTTGATTTACAAACGTACCGTGTCGTCCGTACAAACAATCTACCTGATTGGTGAGAGAACATTTCATTTTTAGACGCTCCGCAGCGAAAGGGTTAAAAATAATGAAAAAAAAAAATTAAAATAAAAATAAAGTAAAATAATAATAATAATAATAATACTAATAATAATACTACTAATAATAATTATTATAATAATAATAATAATAATAAACGTTCTTCCAAAAGCCGATAATTGAAGTTGGTGCAACGACAATAATTAACAGCGTCGATATGGAGTGCCTTTTTTTAGGTGTGAGAAATAGAGGCTGACTTCCACTTCCATAGTTACGCCAACTTCGGTTTATGAGAAAAGTGTAAAAGTGTATGTGTTGTTGTTGTTGTTGTGTCGTGTGTTGCGAGTGTATGTGGTTTAAATGTATGCGTGTTGTGATTTAGATTTGTCTTAGCCAATGATGATGATGATGATGATGATGATGATTAGAAAGAATAAGAATTAAAAAGAAGAGAAAGAGAGAGAGAGAGAGAGAGAGAGAGAGATGGTATTTTTCATTTTCTTTTTCTTTTCAAAATGAACACAAATGCGAAAATAAAAAAGAAAAGGAAAAGAAAATAAAAATGATAATAATAAAAAAAAAGGGTCTCGTCGTGTTAAGTTAACTTTAACGTATCGCGCAAACGCCATTTTTTTTTTGTCTTCGAGGCTGTATTACGCTTTTTCGAAACAGCAGGTGCCAAAGAAAGAAAGAAAGCAAGAGAGAGAAAGAGAGAGAGAGAGAGAGAGAGAAAGAGAAAGAGAAATAAACGAAAGACAGAAATGAAAGTTCGTGCGAATTATGGTGTGTGACTGGTTATTATATAAACAAACAAAAAACTCTTTTCAAGAAACTGTGAACAATTTGGAAGTTAACATTTTTCTTCTAATTTTGTAAATTTCGTAATATTTTTTTAAATGAAAAAAAAAAAAAAATGATAAAAATATTATTCGCTCGATCTTTCAAATCTAAGATTGATTTATTTGTTTTTCTTTCTTAATTTAAAAAGGATCAAACCCACCGAAAGCTTCTTATCAAATGCTTGCGTTGAAACAATTACATAAAAAGCTCGCTCGCTAAATTAGTTAGGCGAAAATAATAACAATAATTATTATTATTATAATAATAATAACAATAGGGTTACATAATTTTGTTCTGAAGAAACAAACAAAATGAAAGAAACAAAACGAAATGAAATGAAACGAAAAGAATAATATTATAGAAAAAAGGACTATATATTAAAGTGGGGCAGGAAGTGGATCGTTGAAGGTGACCTGGGGGCGGCAGCAGGGCGGTCAGGGACGTACTTTGTGGCAAAGATCAAAGCCCTTTTTTTGCGATTAACACCACCCGAGATATCTCTCTTTCTAATCGTGTGTATAACTAAACAAAATACTAATTTATGTACGTACGTGCTAACACATATATCTTACAATACTAAAAAACCATATTATATCATATACACATAATTATACATATATATATATTATATATATATGTATTTATATGTGTGTCTCACTTTCTCTCGTGCGTTTAATCGAATGAGAAAGAGAGAGATCATCACTGCGTCGTGTCCACATTGTGCGAACCGATCGTTTCGAACAAGATTCGTTGTATGTGTACATTTCTATACACATATCACGTATCTTACATATGTAGAAGTATCACACATATTATAATAATTACGAATATGCGAATTTTTGTATTTAAATGAAACTTCATTTCTCGTTTTAGGACGATTATAATTTTTGCAACGATAACAACTTGTAATATATTTTTTTTTTTTTTTTATAACAACTTTCAAAACAGATAAATATAATCGATTTATTTATGAAGTATTATATTATATTCTTAGCTTTGTATTATTAATATTTATTATTTTTTGCGTGTTGTTGTTTGTATTTTTTAATATTGCAAATGATAAGAAACGATCGTTTAGTACTAGCCCTACTAAGATTTCTATTTACTACGAGATGTTTTTTTTTTATAAATATATATATATATATACATATACATATGTCTATGTGTATATATAAATATTAAATAATAAACTCGACTATTCCAGAATAATAATATAAAAAAAATAAAAAATAAAAAAAATAATAAGAAATTAACAATAACGTTTATACGTTGGATAAATAAAATGTGAGGAGCATTCGTGCGTTTTATTCCCGTATTAAGAGAATTTTCATAAAAAAA